GTGCCCCGCCTGTACATGTGAATGTGAAGAGTCTAAGAGCGCTCAACAATCGCCTTCTCGCAGGCAGAGATGGCCGTGCTAAAGGACACCACGTCCGGGGCCAAGTCAGCGTTTGGCATCTCCTCTCGGTTTGGCGTGTCACGTCCAAGGATACTTTCGAAGCAGTTGGCACTCTCGTGATGAAGTCAGAGACAATCTGCTGCTAGCTGCGAGTCCGTTCAAGCCTCCAAAAGCTGCAGCGCGAAGTCCCACCGACGACATCGCTCTGCAACAGACAGGAGCCTCGAGCAAGCAGGGCCCTGAAGACCCCGAAGAAACATCGCGACATCGGAAGACTGAGTCAATTGGAAGAGCTACGGCTATAGCAGTCGCCGCCGTCGTCCTGATCGTCATCATCCTCACACGCATCATGCCCATAATCTTCATCATCATCCTCCTCCCCCTCCTCCTCCTCCTCATCATCACCATCTTCTTCCTCTTCCTCGACGACCTCGGCTACGGTTATTGAGATCGCTGCCGCCACCAGCACTAGCACCAAACCAGATCACAGCCAGTCATGCGCACAACAAGATAAGGACGAAAGAATATCACCACAACGTTGCCGGAAGAACACTAGTCGAAACAATGCCTGCACCAACCACATCAAGAAAACACGCGTTTACAGTTCAGAAAACAAACAACAATACGCCACAGTCGTCAACAACAACGATAACAAAGTGACTTCATTTAGCAGTGCGAAACTATATATTGCACAACACACTGACAAACTGCATCAGTAAACATGTATAAAATTATCAAAGTGTACATCGCACTGACCAGCCGTAACCTGCCTTACGTGTAGAAAACTGCTTCGTGGCTCCCCTGAACACCGACAGAGACAAACCGAAAATGCAGGCGCGACAGGTGCTGGGTGATGTGCGAGTTGAAGGTGTAGATGTCTTCAACAAGGCCTCCGAAGACTTGAAAACTCTTCGCGACTCAACTATGCCAACGGGCTCCTCCGCGCCACAAAGACCGTCCTTCCTACCCCCGCAATCAACCGACAGGCGGAAGCGTTGGCCAAGGAGCCTCGTTCTCGGAGGTCGCTGCGCAGCTCCTGGGCCTTTGCCCAGCGCCGGCAGGCGCTCAGGGCGGCGTTGAAACTGGGCAAATTTGAGCACTGAGTCAAGGTAGGAAGAGTTCGTAGGGGGGTGTGCCTTCCCTGACTGTGCCCCCTTGGCGCGATCATCAGGGCTGCTTTCCTGTGCGCCGGACGTCACGACGTCGGGCTCAACACTGGCTGCGTCCAGGGTTTCCAGAAGTGCCAGCGCGGCTTCTGCATGAAGACAGAATGCATAGATGCATGGACAATCTTGAACGAGATCAGCAGTGCACAAAGTGTGGCCTTCGCTGTTGCCCTTTTGGCAGGCACTGATGGCAGAGTTGAACACTACCACGTTGGGTTTCACCTCGCGCATGCCGGCTACTGTTTCCGGGCGTGGTACCAGCAGCAAATTCACTTGACTGGCATGTGAGGGCTACCAACTACGCCTTGAAAGTGCTTTGTATTAAGCGCACCGAATCGTCATCGCACCTGTGCGCTTGCCATGTCTGACAGCAGCCGCAGTGAGCGCTGCCATTCGCCCACCTCTCACGCGCTGTCAGTGCTTTCAGACCTACTAGACCTCACGGCCATCTGCATTCGAAGGCGCGCTTTTTCGCGATTCTCTTGCACAGGACGATCATCCGTGTGATTTCGTCAATGGAAGGAATCTACATCCATTGAAAAGTGGCTCAATGCACAAGCATTTGCTCAAGCTTGCGCTGACACACGCCAAGTGGCGTCATCAACCCATCCGAATCCTCGTGGACAGAGGAGCTGCTCCCTCACGCGAGGCAGGTACGGGATGGCACTGGCGATCCTTCCATTGCTGTACATACGGTTCATTGGGGAAGACAACTTCTTAAACTTCGTCGACAAGGTCTCCACGATCCTGCATCGGCCAAACACCTGTTAAGCCGCGTCAGTGCAAGGATCGCCTCAAACTGTTGCCTAATTATGCTGCGTACGTCAAAGAGTGCTTGAAGCTTCTTGCTGAGATGCCTTCCGCTTCTCCTTTCTACGCTGCCACAAAAGATGATTCCTTCTGCGGCTTGCTTGCTCCGGTGAGCAGAGATGACAAAATGCGCACGCCTCTCCAAGGCGGCATCCATCACTCTTCCGAGTATAAAAAAGGCATGGTGTGCACAAACCAGCACGGTGGCTGTGCCAAGCGGACATCGTGGCACCAGCTCCCTCGACTTTGCCAGTGAGCATAGTGGTCACGTCTTCCTTCAGCTCAAGAGGTCGTGCTGGAGGCTTGTCAGCCACTCTGGCTTGGCCGCTTGCATCGGGCACGAACCTGCAAGGGACCCGACCCAGATAACTCGACGAAGCGTTCGGTCCAAGAGCCAGCTTTGGCTCCGACTGGCATCGGCGAATTTCGCCTGGACAGATGCTGACAGTACAACACGGTACAGTACTGTACAGTACAATAAACTACTGCATTTTTGATGCATCGCTCCTTGCTTTGGGAACGCCTTCATGCACACGACACAAAATCTATGCGAATTCACCTGCGTGAGTCTATGATTGACATGTGCTTGCTGCGCGGACATCTGTGCCTTCCCCCACAACGGCCACTTCAATGAAAGATCTCTTGCTGAGCACAGCGAAAGTGCCGGCTTCTTCGTCCTCGCAAGCATGTTTGCAAACGAACTTATGCCACAGTTTGGTTAAGAAGCCTAGGAATCAGCCAGATGACGCATAAGAGCTCCTCGATCAGCCAGAGCAGACGGGAACAGCTGGAGGCGCTTGCACAAGGCAATGCGATATCCATCTGTCTGCATACATAAAGGCTCTGTCTTGATGTTTCTGAGCCCAAGCTGCGGGTGCAAAGGCAGGTACTTCAACTCCACGCCCGCATGTGCAACCTGGATGCAACCTTTGGGAGGCATATCAAAGCCGGCAATGCCCGCCACAGCGCCTTCTCCAACGAGTTCAGGACTGCACCGAAGGAAATGACATCGGGCAGTGCGCGATAGAGCGACCTCTGGGTGTGCTTCTGATGGCGGTCCAGTCTCGGGGGCAACGATCTCCTTGTCTGAAATCATCGTGGGCCGCGCACATGCCGCAAAGCAGCGATGCAGCCACCTCCCAGAAGCTTGCCTGCAAAGCAGCACGAGCACGAGCACATCAGTGTCAACACATCTTACCCCGTTCACCTTGCCACAGACCGCAATGCAGGCGTTGCACAGCACCGTGTCCACCCCAGCGCCACCTTTCCCATTCACAGCTTTAGTGGTCACAAAGCCATGGCAACGGTTGCAGGCATGGTTGCAGGGCCTCGCAAGGAATGCAGCAGCACCAATGCCTCGCATCAGAGCATGGACCACAGCCTTGTTTTGCCCCGTCCTGGCCCCAGGTCTGACTGCTTTGGCCTCCATCCAGAGGCCGTGTCTGGCAAAGGCTGCCAGGACAGCGGTGCCATCCTGGCAAAACAACGGCCAACGCGCATGGATGCGCGACACTTGCCATCACTCGGCCCACTTTCAGAGAATTATATATCTCCACACGGCTTCTCGGCCTTCATGCTTTTTAAAGGTGCCTCGCCAGACTATACCTTGCCTTGCGCGACCATGGGATTGCTCGACAACGTCTTTGATTCGTGTTGTCGAACAATCTCATGATGTTGTAATTTGCGATCATGCCCAGGTCAGTCTTAAGACCACCGGATTGCCAAAATGGACAGGCTCGGATGCGGGATGCTGGTTGGTGTCTAGGTCCAGGTTTGCATTGATTGAGTGGGAGCGCATTTCGGCTGACTCAACAGCTCAAACAACGGTTCTGAGCTTGGTATGCAGCAGAACCGTGGGAGCAGAATGTCACACAAGCCATTCTACACTCAGCCATATGCCATAGGTGCCTTACGAATACCATGTTCGTTGCATGACTGTGGAGTTATGCATACTCTGCCATTTCTCCGAATGGCTGTCAACTCTACTGCGGCTGAATGCTGCCGATGACACTGTGCTGACTCTTAATTACTCCTTCTACAAGTAGCTGTGCTTTTGGAATCCCAAACGGTACTTCCTACAATGCCATCGACGACGAAGACTACCTCTCTTGTTCTTGGCCACGTTTGTTACAAGCATCCGTTGATCATAATCACAGATACGACTGCCAGCATGCACACTGCACATCTTGATAACCAGTATTCTTGTCGCTCTTGCTGTATATCATGCTCATGTTCATTCCAACTCCTGCAGGCTTTCGCGACCTGGCCTTTGCCCGAGTCACCACTCCAGGCTCCAACAGCTGCAAAGCTACCTCGGACCAGTGGATCAGTGCAATCGGCATGAACGGCATGTATGCTTGCACGATCTTTAGCCTTCGTGCTGGCTTTCTTAGTTGAAATGACTGATACGACTTGCGTCATCAGCATCTTACCTGTTGTCAACTAGTGAACACGTGAACTACTCTGTTCTGAACTTCTGACAACTAGCAGAACCAGAAGCGCAACCGTCTTTGCAGGATGACATCCTCTGTGAACCCTTGACCGGGTCCCGGGCATCTCGGGCCTCCTCTGCCTTTAGGGGCCCGAGCCCGCGCAGCCTTGCGACGAGGCATCGGCCAAGGCCTGCGAAAGGATTGCGAAGGGTGTGCCTTCATGGTTTCGAGAGGGGCTCTTTCTCGCCTCCCTGTGCAGGAGGTTGCTTCATCGGTGAGCATCATGGCTCCAGCAGGCGGTGAACAAAGCGGCTTGCTCAGAAGTATGGAGAATTACCTCATTGACTCATGCCTGTTGCTGCCCATCCACCTCATGCATGCTGAACTGGGCTGCTTAGCATTCGAAAGCCTCAGAACTATCCCGGGTCATCCAGCCGCAGCAGCTGCAGAGACGTGTACCCCCTAGCCTTGCGTCGATGCCATCAAGACAGTCAGCATCCGACTTGATTGCGCGCAAACATGATTTTGCCTCTCAAGTAAAAGGCCAAGTTATGATGGGTGCACTTCTCACCACAAAGCCTCCATAGGACCTAGGCAAGCTCTGTTCTTTCGGTTGGAAGTAGGAGGTTGCGCGTGGCTTGTGGAAATCTTTGCAGCTGAGACATGCTGAGACAAACTAAGCACCTTGCCACAGAAGACGCGGTCCCCACAGGTAGCCTGGCCGAACAACGCGAACTGACTTGCGACCGTGCAACCTCGTTCGAGTAAAACCTCCAAATAACATGCCCAGCGAAAACAAGTCTTGCATCTTCTTAGACGCAGCAAGTGGCTGTTCTCACCAACACACTACGTACAGTTTTCAGAGGCCTAACAATTGCAGTCCAGCAGCTGACGATACCTCCGGCAGCGCAACCGCCAAGGTGAGAAGCTACGTCGACCTGGATGGGGGAAGGGCGCTTCGGGAACTCACTCTTGTGCTGCTGCGTGGGGAGGCCAAGCACCAGACATCGCGAGTGAAGAATCGACTCAGAAGCGAGGCCAGTATCACGGACCTGGGCTTCGAAACGATGCGCAAATTCCAAAAAACAGCTTGATGTGCAGATTACACTTCCATCTATAGCACGCAGCTCTGGGCTTCCTGAATACCGCTCTCTGCGATCGAGTTGCCAAAGGTCAACACACGAGGCGCCATGCCTGTCAAGCGGGTGAAGGTCGATTTGGCTTTAGAGGCCAACTGCAACTGCTACAACACCGCGACATCAGCAATGGTTGCTGTCACGATGTCGCCTACAAGGCTCTGCAAGGGAGCAGCTCTCTGTCACAGCAGGCTACATACAATATACACGACGATTGCATGCTCTGACATGATGATCCACAGACATACATTCCTACTTCTAACCTGGCCTCAGGCGCTGAAGTCAAACTCGTCAAGTGAAGCCATGCATGCTTGTAACATGCTCCATGCACCGTGCCTCATCCGAAACACAAGCACTGCCTGAGACGCAGAATCCGAAGTGAGGATTGCATGTTGATGCGCCAGACTTGCTGTCTGCGCAAGCATTGCTCCTCACAGCTTGGGCCAAAGCACAGTGCCCACGCAAACCTTTCAACCCGAGCGCCCAGGCTGTGAAACTTTGCGAAGCAACAGGGCCCATGTGGGGAGTCCCATCCAGTCAGGTATCACACTGGATCGAGCAGCTTTGCTCGATGCCACGTGCCAATTGCTTTCACTAGCTGCTCTTCCTCTTGCGAGTCACGACTCTGAGCTGCTTCTGCTGAATCCGCCAAACGCCCTCGTGCAAGTCACGCGGAATCCTGAGGGTGGCTGCACTGCGAAGCAGCGGGCAGGCAAGAGGAAAGTACCACTCTTAGTCACCTTGCACTCTGTCCTGTACTCGAGGACACCAGACCAAGCCTTGCATGCATTTCGCAGCAAATGCAGCCAAGGCTCCGCAGGCCGTCAACATGCCTCTGAGCAAAGCCACGACTTCCACAAACGCCGGCCTCTCTACAGACCTCAACCGTTGACTTGACGACAGACGTGCTAGAAGGAACTATCGCCAGCAAAACGTCTCATTTGGCCGGAGAGCCAGTTGGCAATCCCCGGCGCTATCGCCAAACCGCCCTTTGAGAAGCGCCGATGACGGACGCCTCAGAAGCAAAATGTCCAAGTTGTGCCATGCACCGAATGCCATGGCATCTTTGTTTTCAACATTCTCCAACCTAAGGATGCCCGTGCGTTACGCTGGGAGCAGCTGGAGCACGCAAAGCTGAGCCAGGCTTCGTCGAACCTGCAAGCAAACATCCCAACCGGCTGTGCAGCAATTGTTCCAAATCTGCAATCAGAGCTGAGCAAAACGAATTTCATACAGGCTTGCCATATGTGATACCAGCACCAAACACCAGCAGTGTCACCGGCGAAGGCTGCACATGGCAGCAAGCCTAAACCTCTTGAGCTTATGAGTCATGAAATCATGAACTAACCGAGCCATGCCAATCCATGCCGCATGCCGCATGCCGCCCCTGTGTGTGTCCTTGATACTGTGTTTCCCGACAACTGGCACGAAGCCACATGAAACCCTCTGTCGGCGCGACATTTGTCGCATGCCAAGCGATGCTCTATGTTTGCCAGGATGTGGCTCTCGAAGCCCTGCAGGTTCTCTGTTTCACGTACGCCTGAATCCGCTGCTGTTGATCCTGCATGCGCTGCTGTTGATCACCATCGTCGTCTGCGGCCACTGGTGCAGGAGGTGCGGGAACGGCAGCACGAAGGGTTTCCGAGGCCTCCGACGCTCCACGCCTCTCCAACCGAGCAGTTTCTGCACGGAAGCTCTGCAACAACGTTGTTGGTGCGAGCCCTCTTCTTCGGGGAAGCCTCCTTGTGGATGTCCTTCCAAACTGTGCGAACATGCTCCATCGGTCTGTCACTCTGCAAGTAGTTGAACAGACTCGTCGCTTGCGCCTCCGTCATGTGTAATAAGCATGCCCGCCTGCAGCAGTCGATGATGGAAGTATTTCCGTGTAATGCATCCATCATCGGCTGCTGCAGGCGGGCATGCAAGGCCAGCTCCATTTGTTCAGAGTCCTCGAGTCCTCGACGATCGGAACAGCTGCAGTGGCTGCTACTGCTGCTCCTGCTGCCGGCCCTTCGCGAAGAGCGTCCTCCAGACTGGCTCCTGCGACCGGCGCTGCTGCAAGCGGCACTGCTGCGACCGGCGCTGCTGCAAGCGGCGCTGCTGCGAGTGGCGCGCTGGCACCAACCATCGGTACACCAACCATCGGTGCCCCTGCAGGCGCAGCCTCTGGCACAAAGCTTAAGCCGTCGTAGCCGGTGCCACGCCCCGGGCATTCTGTCTCCCGATCAGCAAGGTCTCTGCACTCAAAGGTTGCAAGGTGCGGGGGTAATCCACCCCCTCTGCATTGTCCATCCTGTAGGCGCCGGAGTTGGGGTAATGGACATGCCTCAAACTAACGCTCTACCACCAGATCTGAAAACTCTAACTCAAAACTCTTGAGGGAAACCTCTGCGGGCACGAAGCAAAACTTCAGGCAACACTTTGGGATCGCACACCGCACTCTGCCGACACTTCACTTCTGGGCTACCTGGGCCCTTGTTTATCGCAAGTTTCAACCCACAGGAAACTGCAACAACAACAGCAGCAGCTGCAGCAGCAGTCGAACCCTGAAAACCGGGTAGCTGCCACCACTTCTCATGTGCATGTCGCATCTGGACTGGCTCTGCCTCTCGTCTTGCCAGAGGATTTGCCGCAGGTCTGCAGGCCGGAGGGGCGGTGGTGCAGCCAGACCTGTTGCGAAAGAGTGTGTAGCGTAGAGTTGATTGCAGACATGACTGAAGCGAAGCATATTGCGTGTGACTACCCGAGGGCTCGAGGACGAAAGTTGACAATGGCGCGTTGAAGAGCTTCGATCTGCACCCAGGCACTATCGCATAGCTGCTGAGCTTTCGGCATTCACCAAGACAGCCAGGCGTTCTCCCCGTCTGCATTCCAGCTCTGCCGGAACACCATGCAGCAAGTCGCCACCTCGAAGCGAAGGCAGGAAAAGGAAGTACATGCACCTTGAGCCATGTTTTTCGTCAGTTCACCTGCTTCAGAACTGGAAGAGCGCTCACACACACACACACACCAGCCTAGCAGGCTAAAATCTTGTGCAGCCAAGCACCGAAGGCAACGTGCAGCCCCCGCGAAGGGAATGCGACGAACGCCGCCGCTTTGTTGCCAGGACTCACCAGAGGGCCCCACGTTAGGCAGAGTGCATAAGGATGAGGCAATGAGGGCGCATGAAGTGTCTTTGCTGGATTTCCACAAGGTGCTCTTAAAAGCAACAAGCGTCTCCACTTTCGCTTATTAAGACTCGGCGACCACGCCGCATTCAATTGATGGCGAGCAAAACTGATTGTACCCGACCTGGGTGGAGGGGCATCTGCATCGGGCGCGCCATCTTCTTGACGGCGCAAGGTCGGCGCCGAGAGAATCACCAGCGGAGCACCTGAGGAATGTTGCTCAAGCGATTGGTAAACCGAAACATAGTTGGTGCTTACATGAGAGTCAGAGTGGGTAATAGACCTGGCGATCTTGGCATTGGTGGTTCGGGCTGCGCGCCTTGATCGGTGAGGTAAGTGGCTGTGGCGACCAGCGGATGGACGCAAAGGCCCACATCATCCAGCAGATCTTCATCCTAGGCTTCCCATGGCCGTTCTCTTGATCGACTGAAGCTGTGATTGGCTTCATGGTCGGTGGAGCCTTGTCAAAATGCCAGTTCATTCCGCGGCGTGCCTTGGCTGCAGAACCCTGTGCAGAGCGCTTGGAAGTCCTACTGCCGGAGAACCCTAAACATTTGAACCCTAAACCTTGACCTCATGAAGCCCAACCTTCGGCAAGGGCTGTGCCTGCTTCACCTCCGCACCGCGCCGCTGCACCCAGAACCTGCCGCCACAGAAGCGTCGTTTAGATGGAGATGTTGCACAGCCGAGTTCACCATGTGCGACTTGATTCTACCAGTCTCCAGGACTCCGGCCAAGCTGCTCGGCACCAGCGCAGCCTCCACAACAGAACGAAAGGGATGGACCCAAATGGGAAGCAATGCTTTTCTGCTGTAGCTACTGACATGCTTGATCAGATCTTCAAAACTCGCCGATGCACCTCCGAGTCGCTTCACGGTCTTGGATGTGAAACCCAAGCGCTTGGTATGAAACTGAAACCTGCAGGAGTCTGCGAAGAGATCTGTAGTGATCAACGACTCTCACAAATCTTCCACCCCACCCGCACTCCACGAGATGAAAGACAGCACAGGGTTGCACAACGAAGGCTGAAACTAGACCAGGTGCACTCGCAGCGCAAATTGCTGCAGCAGCGATCCAGGCTGTGCTGTTGCGGGAATCCAGTAGCTCTTCGGAGGGGCCCCTGCACATGTCAATCTCGCCCGCTCAACAAGTGACCTGAAGTGGTACGATTGCTATCAGGAGTCGCCTCGACGTTTTGCCAATCGGCGTGCAGCGGCAGCCATGGTGGCCTGGAACACAAGGCTGATGAAGTTGGATGGTGAGTGCTGGAGCGCAAGGCTGCCGGTTGCCTCCCACCTGGGGCCGAATGTCAAAGCTCCGGGAGGTGTCTGCCAGGCCTGAAACGGAAACTTAAGGTTCTGGGGAGTGAAAATGGTGCTGCAATGACTGCCCTTCGAACACGTTTCTTTCTTCGGTTTGGCCTTACTTCGTGGTCGGCAGACTGGAGTGGCATGCGTGAAGTCTGATCGGGCTCAAGTTGGGTAGTGCAGCAGCAAGCACTTACTCCAAATTGCCCAAACTCTAGGATGCTAGACCTGCAAATGCCTGCATTGGGGGCATCGTCTTGGTGTAGCCATTGCACGAAATCCGTCGGCGAAGGGACCACACCTTTTCAGGCATGGGGCTCATGTCTGCTCTTGGATTCCACGACTTTGCATTCTCTTTTCATCCCTGACACCTTGTAATCGATTTCCAGCTCCGAGCTGTCGCTTTCCGAGTCCTGCAGACTCATCTAAGACTGAAGCGACTTCGCAGTGCTGGCTGGACCTACCTCGAGTCCCCAGGACCAAAATGTCAAAGGAGAACCTACCTTGCACTACTGCAGCAACATCATGCAAGAGTGCCGGGCAGTCCAGATCGCAGCTCATGATGCCCGAATCAAGCGGGGAAAAAGCAATTCATAAACTTATATTGAGTGGGCGACAAAAAGAAATAGAATCTGCAACGGATGTAGCGGTGGTTCGCTTTCTACTTGGGAGCCACCAGCTGAGAGCCAGAATCTGCTGCCACGCATAAACGTTAGCGACTGCTAGTCGAGCCAATACCACTTAAGTCACTACTGGTATAGATGTATTAATATTATTGCTGCAACCAAGATACTACTGGCACCCTCTCATCCATCCTTTCGGAAGTGCGCTTTGGGCCTCGTTGCCTTCATTTGCACACGCTCTCCAATCATCTTCAAATCTCAGGCACGCACGGAGACAAGGCCCAGAGCAGCTGCCGAGCCACCCAAGGACGCGATTGAATCTGCGCAGCATTTTTAGACACACAGCCCGCACGACGCAGGCTCGAAATCCACCGAGGCTTCGGCATCTGGGATATTAGCATGCAAGCCCCACCCACTAATTACGCCCACTTTCACTCAGTTGTTCATTTTATGCCTGGATTTCGGCCGCGAGTCACTTGACGGTCCCGAACTTTGCCGGCAAGGTTAGCAGTTAGAGGAGCATTGTGACAACGAAACCGAAAGGCTCTGCAGCGAAGAATCGCAAATGGCACACAATTTTCGGCTTCTACACGCACGGTAGCTTAAAGCTCTAAGGGGCCCCTGCATGGGCCGGACAGCAGCGGAGGTCAACGGCAGCATGTGCTGGCACACCAGTTCACAGCTCCCTAAAAACTCTTTGACCGGAGCGCTTTGTACACTAGCGGCGCTTTACAGTGCCTTCTTTGCGCCTACGCTCACGGTCCTCAAGTTGCCACTCCTCGGCTTCTAAACGAAAGGTGCCTTCTTCGAGGAGCTGCATCATAGAGTCTTTGTTGCCGTTCAGCTTAGTCAGGGAATCGACGATCATAGCTTGGTGCTCCACCCAACGTAGTTCCACGCCGAGCCCGTCCACTCTCTCCCGGGCTATCGCCACGTCCAAGGCGGTAAACTTGTCTTGGCTTTGAGAGCCATCTTTCATCATGTTATCGTACAGGGATTTTTGCGTCCACCACCGCCAGGGAGTTCTTAAGGGTCTCGTCGGCGTCGGCGCTTTGCAGCACTAGCTCTGCTCTGGACTTTACGTCCTGCTTGAAGGCCTCCAGCGTGAAGTCCTCGTCAAGGATTTCGTGGTAGACCGCCTTGGCCCACATGAGGTCGCCTAGCCCTCGTAGTAGGGTTTGCGCTTCGGCGGCCAGGGTGCTGCCGACTTTCCTTCGCAGCTTACCGCTCTTCCACCATATCATGGTGCACTGCGCCCGCTTCCCTTGCAGAAGGTCACGGTGGAAAGCTATCACGGCAGTCGCTCCCTGCGAGGAGCCATCCTTGTGGTTCGCCCACGAAGCGTCCGTGACGGTACCCCAGCACAAATCCTGAACAGGAATTGGGTGGAACTTGAGCTGTAGATCCCTTCTGGCCTTGGCACCAGCTATGCACTTGTTAATATCCATGAGGTCCTTCACCTGAAGAGTGGAGATCCGAGCTGCCAACATCGAGGCAGCCCCTGCTAAGTCGGGCCGGCCTTCTTTAGCTAGCCAAGCTAGAGAGCCAACCACTCCCCTCGCAGAAGAGATTTCCTTGTCGGTGGCCCTGGCCTCCGGGTCGCTCTTCCTTTCTCGCAAGATGGCCATAGGCATCAGCCGCTCCTCGATGAACTTCGACATGTCCACGCGGATGGAAAAATCCGCGTCTTGCTGAAGGCGCCGGCCATTAAACATGGTTCCTTCTGCCAGCTCCTGTAGCTTCTTGTACTTGCCGAACTTGAACCTATTCTGTAGCTGTGCCATCCTTTGTTCGTGTTCCTTGAAACCAAACGACAAAATGTCGTCTATCTCGACGACCAGCACACCATTTAGCTGGTGGTCCACGTAGAGCATGAACACCGTCGGGTCGATCCGGGACTGCTTAAAGCCAAGCTCGGAGGTGAGGTAGCTCTTTAAAGTCTTGCGCCAGTGTAGTGGCCCGTCCACCAAGCCGTACACGCCGACCACCACCTCCATTATTTGCCCAGCTTCCATGCCAGGAAGACCGCCTCGAGGTTGCCGAACGTATAGCTTGCCGGCCTGTCTAGTAAGCTTGTCACTCTGAGTGAACGCGGCTTTTAAGTCACCGCAAGCGCCCGGCATGTTAAGCGAGGCGACCAGCTGAAGGATAACCTGCAAATTTTGCGTCGTCACTGTCGGCGCATAGGCATTGAGCTCGGCCGCGTCTGGGTCCATATCTCCCCGCACACACCACCTGCTCTTCAAGGAGGCAGGTTCCCCTATCTGCTCGGATGGCTTTCGCCGTCTCACAAAGCGACTGTCTATCACTCTGCTTGATTGGCCTTTGGTGGCCAATTCCTGAAGCACCCGAGCAGACTCTTGCGGGGACAAAACACGAACTGCTCCAGAGGCTTCTATCTTGGCCCATTCTTCGGCATCTGCTTGCCTCCACTCGGGCCACTCCTCCTCGGGAATGTCCCTCTCATTCACCTCGTCGCTGCCGGTCTTCTTGGCTGCGAACACGTCGGAAGGGAGAACCTCAAAGGCGTAGGTGTCCTGTGCTTTGTTGCCGGAGACGCCCCTGAAGTTCTTCAGCAGCTTCTTGGCCTCGGCCTTGGTGAGGTAAAAGTCCGTGTAGCCCTTCCACTTGCTGGGTGCCTTGGTGGAAACTCCTGGTCGTAGCGCTCGCCAATCATCAGAAAGGTCCCTTCTCTCGCCGTTCTTGAACACCTGCACGGTACACCTCTCCGAGTTCAGGGCTGCTATGTCCAACGGCATCTTGGAGCCTTCCCACGGGCTGAAAAGGTGTGTCCTCCACTTGGTGTGGTGCCTTCGAAGAAGCCCTTGCTGTGGCAGAAGTTGCCAACGGTCCCTCTGAGGGACACTCTCTCTCTGCGGCGGCGCGGCCTCCAGGTCCAGCTCTTCCACAAAGACCTCGTCTTCGGCTGGCCGCTGATAAGGATGCGGCACTTCTTCCCGCCGCACTTCTGCCGCTTGGCGCACTGGCGCACTGGCCTGTAGGAGCTCTGCTCCGAAGCCACCGGAGCGTCGCCCAGGATAGGTCCGGAGCGGAAGGGGGCAAGCCATCCACACGGCTTGCTCGATTGGCTGACTCCACGGCTGATCTCAGCAAGTCTTCCCGCGTCGGTCTTTCGGAGTTGTGCTGCTCTACCTCCGGCTCCTCGGTGCTCTGCCTTTCCGGTGTGTCCCGCCGGTCTTCATCTAGATCTGGGCCCAGCGGAACCTGAGGAACAGGAGGTTCCGGAGGCTCCGGCGTCACAGGCACTTCTGGCAAAACCTGTTCAGGCTCGGGAAGTGGTACAGGAGGTTCGAGAAGGTCTGGTTCGGTGCGAGGTCGTGGTAGTCCTCGCGCGTCTCCTTCCGCCACCACCGGGTCGTACCAAGGCCTCTCGCTCGCGGGCGGTCTTGGCTCGGTGGTAAGGTCTTGCACCACGGGTGCCTCGCGGCCGTCTCTTGCAAAACGATCCCGCAAGTCTCGGAAAACTTCATGCACAGCCTCGGTCCCCTTGATCTCCTCAGACACTGCGCTGCGCACGTGCTCGTTGCTCACCTTCCAAAGCTTACCCTTCATATTCACATAGCTGTTCGCGCCCTCGGGCAACACCACAACCCCAGGGCCTTGCCACGCATTTTGCCGCCAAACATAAATAACATCACCAGGGCTGAACTGAACTTGCGTGCGGGGCCTTGCGCGCAAAGATCGGCGCAAAATCGTCGAGCAATTGGTCTCGGCCCACGCCCTCTGAGCCGCAGCCCTGGCCTTGAGCACCTTCATCAGCTCCTCGTCGTTGGTGGAAACCGACCCTCGGAGTTTGGCCCAACATTCGCTGCGCTGGTGAAAATCCGCTTCGGTCCGAGAGCCTGTTTTTGGCAGCCTCGGTTTCACGGAGAAGAAGACGCCATTCTTCCACCGAGGCCGGGGCATTGATCCACTTGGCACGCTCTATCATCATCTTAAACAACCCGCCATGCCTTTCGCAACGGCCGTTTTGATACGGTGCCCGAGCCCCAATTGTATGAATAAGCACTCCGAGCTCATGGCACTTGTCGCGGAAAGCCCCCAAGAACTCGGTTCCCTGGTCGCAGAGGATCATCTGAGGGAACCCCAGGAACCTTCCCCAAGTGCGCGCCATTGCCTTCCATACTGCGAGTGGTTCTTTGGAGGGCACCCGCTCGATCATTTGAAAGTTGGTGCCGAGGTCGACCATGTTGAGGTATAGCTCTTGCTGTGAATTGTCCCAAGAAGACAAGTGGAACAAGTCGACCGCAACCGCTGTATTTGGCGAATAAGAGCGCGGCACGGCTGCTGGTCTAGGCGCCTTAGGTCGAGCACCTGAAGCACAAGCTGGGCAACGGAAGTGCTTCTTTGCCCACTGCCAGACGTAGTCGGGAGCACCCCGATGCGCAAAGTCCGGGCCAAGGTGGCTGCGTCCGGGTGTCCCAAGTTTTGGTGCACTTTCTGTATAGCTGCCTTCTGCTGCTCGGTGGGCTCCTGCACTGGAGCCGCTGCATCGGGACCCGGTTCGGGGTACTCGCTGTCGCCCTGGTGCTCGCCAACAAAAGTCTCGGAAAACTGTTCCGCCAGCTCGGGCCCCAGGAGCACCTGCTTATTCTTAGCCATCTGGTACTTCTCGGTGTCCCGGCGATTGGTGAGGATGCCCTGCTTGCGGAACAGGAGGTAGGCGGCCGAGGTCTTGCAAGCTTTTGCCCTCAGCTCCTTTAGGGCTTTGGTCTCGGGAGCTCCTCTGGGTACTCTCATCTCAAAGGCTCCCCCTCGCCGCCACTGAGCTCGGGCCACGCGACAAGCGTGGTCCAATTCCTCGGGCCCCAGGCTGGGGCTCAAAATGAGCCTCTTGGGTGACCCCTCTTGCCACAAACTCCACTGTGTAGCCTGCTCTTCTTGAGCAGCAAGCGCCAAAACTGGTTCAGGTCGGGCCTGCGCTGACATTAGCGGCCGCGCCCAACTGAAAAGGTCGGTGTGAAACTCGGTGAGGTCGTGCTCTTCCCCACCGCCGGTGGCACTGAAGAAGTAGAGGGCCGGCTCGTTGATCACCAGAAAGAGCTCACCGCTTGGCCAACCGCCAAGGCTAAAGTCCGTCCGGTCCCTCCGGTGCATCCCCGCGCTGTCCTTTGCCACCACATAGTCCTCAAATGCTGTCATAGGTCGGGACAGCCACGCCTCAATGGCCTTAGGGGATGCCTTCTTGAGCACGAGCTTGCCATCGAGCGACGCGAGGTCTGAGCTCAATGGCCGGAGCGCAGCAGTAGGCTGCTGATCTGGGCCCGCTGCTTCATAACGTTCTGGTAGTAGCCGTTCATCTGGGCCGCCGCGGTCCTCAAGCTGTCGGCTGCCCGAATCCACTCGTCCTTCGTGTCCCTGGTCGGGAAGTGCTTGCTCCTCGTGCGGCAGTCCTCCTCCACAGCTTTGAGCCGACGGAACTCGGTCACCACCGCCTGCGCTTCCTGTTGCATCGTCTGGTCCATGCTCAGGTAGGACCCCTCCAGGGCACTGCAAGCGTCCACTGCCATGTCGATCTCCTCGGTCGTGCCCGTCAGGAGCTCGAGCTGCGCCTGCAGGTGTTGCATCTTCTCCTTCTGGTTCTCTATCACCCGGAGGTAATCCGCCTCGGTCGGGTCCTCGGCCCGCTTGCTGCCCGGCTTTTGCTCTGCGGCTTTCGCCTTCGCCTTGCCCTTGGGTGCCACCAGGACGGGCTCCTCCGCCGTCACTTGCTGCAACCGGCGCCCCGTCACCAAAGCTGCCGCCTCTGGCGCCAAGGTCCACCTCGACAGGCACCGGGCGCAATGCACCCAATTGGCGTGGCCATTTCCTCCCCCCTTGAGGTAGCGAGCCTCGTGGGGACACGTCGCCGCATCCTGGTCCGGGATCCCCTTCACGTTGCTCATCTGCTGCGGCGGCGGGTCCTTGGAGATTTCGTCCTTGTAAAAAGCCGCCTTGTTGGTAGGGGCCAGCGCGGAGGTAGTCGAGGACCCCGAGCTGCTCGTAGCTGTCACCGCCGGGATGTTCCGCAGGAAGCTGGAGACTGCAGTGTGAAGCGGCCCCCAGGACACCACAGCTTGTCCCCAACGACGCGCCAGTTGCGAAGGGCGAGCCGTGTGCGATCGGGCACCTTGCGTCGCCTTGCTGCTCCCGGGCGGCTCTCGTTCAGCACCTGGGCCGCCAGCATGGGTCACAAAGGAGCTGACTGCGGTAGAGGCCGTGCCCTTGCACATTGAGACAAAGCCAGAACGCTGCTGCACGAGAGAAGAGCTCACACTGAAGTCTTTCGCCGTACGGGTGCTACACACTGCGAGGGCAAAGTCCAACCATCGGGGCCAAAGTCAACAACACTAACCGCAGCATGTCCTGAAAGCAAGGTAGTCATACTGCATGTGGCTTCCAGGTAGGTCAAGGACAGGGAGTTCTTGGGAAGGTTGATTTCGGCACCTAGGGAACGCAACAGGCTGATCGGCAACAGGAGGGGGACGTCTTCCGAAATCACAGTGCACTCAAGAATGCCGGAGACGCCGGCCAAACCCATGGGAATTTCCACGACCCCCACAGTGGTGGCCTGCCCTCCGATTCCCCTGGCTGCCGAAATCTTGTCAAGCCACTTGCACCCCAGACCCTGCTCACGAAGAACACTGCAAAGTCTAAGTAGGCTTGGTTTCCCTATCAAGCCGTCCTGCGCCGCGGTGTCGACCAAAGCTTGACCCTCCGAAGTGACAACCCCACAGAACGACGCGACTGAGACCTTCTTTTGCTTCTGTGCCCTGAGGATCTCCTTCAAGGTGAGGAACGAGGCTGAGCCGGCAGTGTTCGAGCCGCCCCAGTAAAAGGAAGTCGCCGAGCCAGGCTTTCCATAGCTCGGGCCTGAAGCCGCCGACGAAGAAGCACTAGAGGCAGGGCCGCGGTTGGAAGGGCACTCGCGACTCCAATGCCCCACCTGTCCGCAAGCTCGGCAGCGAGTTCGCAACTTCAGCTCTTCAATATGTATTTTGCTGCCGCTCCCAGGCCCTTTGCCCCAACGGCCGCGGCCAGAGCCGAAACCGCCTGCATCCTTGTACTGGCCTTTGCCCTTGCCTTTGGGCTGTCCTCGCCCCTTTCCGGCGAACGGTTTCCCCGAGCCGGGCTTGAAGAACTTGCGGCCCAAGCGCTGCTCCTTGATGCGCTGCCGTGCTTCTTGATAAGAAGCAAGCGCTTCCACCAGGGCTTCCTCCTCAAACACCTCGCCGTCGTCACCGTCGCCAAGGTAGACATAGTTCTCGTCATCGCTGCTGTCCTCCTGGTAGAAAGCATCTAGCGGCGCCTCGTCCGGCCACTCTTCTTCTTGAGGCTCTTCTGCCCCAAGGCCCAGGAAAACCTTCTTGCCGCTCTCCTGGTGAACACGCTCCAGACGCCGAAGCTTGGCCAGCACATTGTCCTTCGAATAGTCTCCCGCCAGCCAGGTGGTCAAGCGGCTGTCCAACTCAGCGTCCAGATTGGCCTGCCGGTGAAGCAGATATTCGACCGCTTTGGTCGGCAAAGCCACGCCCTCGTCCTTCAGAACCGCCTGCGCCTTCTCGAAGCGTATAATGTACTTGGCCAGGGTCTCCTTGTTTCCCCTTGGTGGGCCGAACAGCGCTCCTTCCAAAGCCCTCGGGAGAGCCGTCTCAACATACGGCTCGAATGCCTCCTTGAGCTTCTGAAGCACTGCTTTAAATCCGCCGGCGCCCTTGATCTCGGAGACGGGGAGCCCATCGACAGCTGCTTTTGCTGTCCCGGTCAAGACTTGGACTAACTTGAGCCCCTGCTTGTCCTCAGGTATATCTGTCCCAGCTTGCCAAAGTTCTAAGTCCCTGAGGTAGCCACGGAAAGTGCTTTGAGGGTTCTCGCCGCCGTAAGCTGGAGGCGGCTCTTTATCGCGGTACGCCCAGTTGGCTGCTTCGCTTCCTTGGGCTCCTGTAGACATAGAGGCTTTTCACGAGGAGCTCCTGCGCAGCGAACGCAGTCAAACAGCCTTGCCCCGGTGCTCTCCAGAAGGGCTCCAAACGATCGTGCCTAGGTCGCCCTCAGACAAGTACTGGTAGTACACGGTCGCAGGAGAGCTCCGGCAGCGCCCCTGGATCAGAGCCACAGCTCCGCTGCCAACTGACAACGAAACCGAAAGGCTCTGCAGCGAAGAATCGCAAATGGCACACAATTTTCGGCTTCTACACGCACGGTAGCTTAAAGCTCTAAGGGGCCCCTGCATGGACCGGACAGCAGCGGAGGTCAACGGCAGCATGTGCTGGCACACCAGTTCACAATTGGCATCTGCAGCTAAACCCATAAAAGTACAGAAAACACTCGACGCGAAACAAGCACGGTAGCATAAAGCTCGAGCCGGGTATGACTAGTTACTTAGCAGCCTCAGCTGTGCTTCTCTGTGCTCCTGTCCTGCTCTTGAGAATGACGTTGCCAGATGTTGCCAGACTCCCACAAAAATGTCGCGACTTTGCAGACACTGCCCTAGAGCTGCATCCGTAAGCCGACAACGAAACCACACAGAAGTCAACATTTACGCCAAATGCCGCTTGCAAGCCTCTTCGCCGCTGCTTCCACATGATGGAGGCAAGTGAGCCACCAACTGCCTCTAGCTCGGGTCAACAGCACGAACATTGAAGCTGCACTTTCCCGGCTACTGAAGCGGCTATGCAAAAGTCAAATGCTTGGCGGGCTTGACCTGTGCCTGCCTACTGGTAGCTATGCTGCCTCGACAGTGCAGCATGCACACAGCCAACCGAACTGGTCTCCGACACGGCTCCACACTTTCCGAGCACGGCTTAGGCATGTGCGCTGGCGAGAAAGGCAAAGAGAAATCGTCCTGCGCAACTTCAAGCAGTGGTTGCATGGGATGTTGCTGCCTTCGCCCGGCCATTACTGCCCTTGCTGATACCCGCGCTTTCCAACAAGACTCTTTGCACCAAGCGGCAACAGTGTTCAAGCTCACGCGGTGACAAGCAGTTCGCGCAGGCACCTGGGCCCAGTAGCCTCTCGGCCGCGTGACCATAGTACCTGTGCCGCCCGACTCAGAGCTGACTCAGAGTAGAGTAAGTAGCTGCCACGAACTCGCATCACGCGCTGTTGCTTCGACCCGATAGCTAGTGACAGCTAGTCCGTGAGCGAAGCATGAGCAGCAGCACGAAAGCGGGCGCCAAAGGAAGTACATGTTCACGGCCAGGTGATACCAGCTGGCATGGAGAAATGCGCTGGTGACCTGAGTCCGGTGCTCACAACCCGATTCACTGAACATCCGATTCAATCCGGCAGAATGCCGATGTCGGTGAATGGGAGAGACGGAACTGGAGAGGCAAAGAGACGGAGAGAGAGAGAGAGACAGACCTAGCAAGGGGCAGACACTTCGAGCTCTCAGGCCCTTTCTCTCAACAAGTGATCTTCTTCTCAGCAGAATCGCTTTGCAATCTGCCATGCTCCTATCCAACACAGGCCTGGAGAATTGAATGAGCATGCTGCAACAGGAATTACAAGGCGAGACTTCCTTGCTAACTTCCAAAACTCCAGTCCAGAGTGTATTCAGTCCGATGAGGACACATGATGGCGAGGAGGTTCGGTGGCTGGGGGCCAGAGACACCTAGCTGACTGACGGAGTCGATGTTGTAATACAACCCCCGTGCCTGCCATCGAATTTCGGCCTGTCCACGTGATGCGAACATGCCAGAGTCTCACGCAGCACTTTGTAGCGCTGGCGGACTCGTGGTGGAGCATGCCGAAACCATCCACGAGCTAAGATGCCGTGGAATGTCAATCATGAGCTTCCAGGCAATTCCTATGGGTGCGCCAGACTGGTGCGATCTGTACATTCAGCAGACACCGGATTTGGGTGCAAATGAGTGGGTTTGCCCTTTTGCCAAGCAACACTTCATCCCACACCAGCAGCAGCTCCAACCAGGCAAAGCTTGTAACCTTCAACACCCTTGGGATGTCCTTAAAGTCGAGGTCATTGGCGGGCTCTGGGCACCACCCTACACCCTGCAATCCACAAGTGGCAAGCAGGACGGTGGGCCTTAGCCTTAGCGTTTCTTGCGTCGCTACTGCTGCTTTAGAATCAGCATGAGCACTTTCGTATACTGCAAGAATAACCTGAATAAGTCATAGCCATCGTTACGATTGTCGTGCAGCTGAACGTCTTCCGGAGCCCAAGTTCTATGTGCTAGACTGGGTATCTAGGACAGGACCTCCACTGTGTTGTCAGCATGGGAGGATGGGTTTCTCGGCGAGCGCGCATGTTTTTGGGCAACTCTGCTCCATGAATATATTCTGTGTTTAGCCAAAATGGCAACAGTCCTTCTTAGCACAAGCTCACGCGAAACATGTCCATGTTTCTTGACATAACTGGACATAACGGTGACACCCAGTTCCTACGATCTGAAATCTGAGTCTTGGTGTGAAGTGGTCCTAAGCAGCCCCACGTCCGTAATTTGGCTGATGGCCCGTGCGAAACTAAAGACACCACGCCTCTCAACGCCATTCAGCGTCCATTCCACCTGCTGCCACTGTCAGAACTAGCGGAGTAAACTTATCAAGTTTAGGAAGATCTAAGGTCTGTTTCTCGCCGGAAGAAATACAAATGCAAAAACAAGAACGCCGAGATCTTGTCTGACACCAACGAACCAACATTGACATACGGTCAACTTTTTTGCGGATTGAGGTACCATGCCTGGTGTGGGATGCAGGTCGACCCGAAAGTGGGCTCTGAAATGTGACTGTCCCAGTATCCGGATCAGGCACCAGTGAGCAAAACTCAACCGGATTCCTGCCCCAACTCTCGAAGCCATACGCCCTAGACACTAAGCCCCAAGCCCGGAACCCGATGCCGGACTCTAAACCTTGAGTGCAAGCCCCTCAATGCCAATAATAGTCTCATTCCCTAGCGCCCAACAATGACCTCTCGGACATCTTGGGTCTCTCGGCAGGCAAGGGTAGCACTGCCGGCCTTGGGCGTAAAGGCTTCAAAAGCCAAGACTGAGATGAGAAAACTATCCAGACCATAATCGCATTGTGCTCCTAGCGGGGTGCGTATCTGTTCTGACATTCGCCATCCACATCATGGTCTAGGAGGAAGCATACCCTACATGCTCTCGTGTTTCAGTATTGCAGATTAGGTATTCCTGTACACAGGTTACCTACCTACCTACCTACCTACCTACCTACCTACCTCCCTACCTCCCTACCTCCCTACCTCCCTACCTCCCTACCTCCCTACCTCCCTACCTCCCTACCTCCCTACCAGACAGACAGACAGACAAGCAGGAAGGCAGACAAGCAGGAAGCCAGACAGACAGCCAGCCAGACAGACACGCGTTCAACATGCACACGGAGATAGTACAGACATGCATATGATCACATATGCATAATGCCTTGCAAATGCACTTGTCTTACATATATACACATATATACATATATATATATATAGGTAGATAGATGGACAGAGAGATAGACAGACATTTGTACATCGCCATAGGCACCTGTACGTGTGCATGCGTACAAAATGTCTGCAGATATGTGTAGATGTACACGCACGCACGTGTGCAGCCTTATACAGACATAAAAATGAACAGTTCTGCGCAAATATATGTACGCATAAACCTACACATACATGTACAACGTGCCGGCACAATGTACATGCACACTTGTATGTACACCAAAAGGTACCAGTATATGCACGAATTTATGATCTACAGACAAAACCACATATATACATATATACATGTTTTTTAATTTATTTGTTTATTTATTTAAACTATACTTGTATGTATATACATACATACATGCATGCATACATACATACTAGGTATATACCTAGATATTTATTAAAACCCTTACAAATTTGTATACGTCCAGACTATCTATCGATAGATCCGTAGATAAAATAAAAGGGGAAGACTGAGTAGACCAGTGGACCAGTAGTGGACCGGTAGTAGCACGTGGATAGGTGGCAAACTACGTGGTGACTACATGTGTAACGTCAATATGTGAATGCTGATGGCCACACATGGGCGGCCGACTGCTCTGCTCATCACCACGCCGGTGAACTGCCGTCCACGGGTCCTGCAGATACAATGACAGGGCGACTGCTCTGCTAGTTTGGTAAATTAGACTTGCGCTTGGATAAACGTCCATAAGGAGTATCCACACAGCAGGAAGAGGGCGATTTTGGCTTCGAGCGTCCTGCGTACAGCACTCGGCGGCCAATGGGGGCCTGTGGCCTTGTTTCAGATGAAGAGAAGACAAGCAACTGTTTGCAGATTCGGGGAACTGCGCGGATGGTGTGTGTCAAGAAGTGTGGTGCTGGGGCACCGACGGCGGAACGAAGCGCAGAGCAGGGCCCGGGGCCAGCATGCCTTCCCGCAGCACCCCGCCACTTGCCCCTTGTCGCCAATAAATGTCTTTGGAAACAGGCTGCAGAAGCACGTTCACAGCTACCCGCCGCTGTCCATGCCTTGCTGTGGCACGGCTTGGAAGCCTTGGATGACCTTCCGGCAGCATGGCAGCAGGCACGCACGCACACATAGTCGCACGCACAGACGCCCACAACCGCCCGCATCCGCCCGCATCTGCCGGATGTCAGAATTCCCAGCGAGCATTCCCAACATTCTTGTTCCACCTCTCTAGGATGCTCAGAACACGTCTTCCTGAAAGCTACCTATTGATGAGATGCTGCGAATCTGAGTAGACCATACATCGTCTTGTTCTTGCTGCAGTGCACCTTTGCAGTTCAAGTTAATAGAATACCAGATTCGTACAGTCCAGCAAAGTCCAGCAAGATCAACCAGCAGACTCACGCATTTTGATTGCAGCACATTGGTGTAGCGTTCTGTTGCCGTTGCCACCACCCTGGCCGGCCAATTCCGGCGGCAGCCCCACGCAACAAGCCTTCTCGTCTTCTTCTCCAACATTGTTGGCTTATTTCGGCGGGGGGAGCTGGAATAGCCCAATGCAGAGTGGCATTCGCTGACCGTCAAGCATGGATCTGCAGGACCCCCCGTTTAAAATCAGCAAGCTTGGATACGATGGGGCTGCATGTCTTGCACATGGTGCAGTCGGCTTCTCCCGCCTTGGGGCTCTCGGCATAACCTGTCGAGCCGACTCGCCGCAAAGTCGGCGAATTACACCTGACTCACAAAAAAACTGCTGCAACTTCTGTCGCAAGCTAAAGGTGCGTAAGGAGAGTCGACGGGCTTGGTTGATGAGCATAAACCTAGTGACTATCGGGACTTGAATTCGTCGCAGCTCTGCCAAGTTGGTGGCCTGCCGGCCCACGGTTGCTGCTGGCCGGCAGGGAGCGCGTTGACCTGCATAAAGCGCGTTGGAGATCTTCCTACCCTGAGGCTTGGTAAGCTCCGCTTGAGCCAGCACTGAAAGGCCCCGGCTGCAACATGATGGCTCTTCGCTTGAGCCATCAACGGGGAACCGTCCACAGCCTGGGAGAAGGCCAGAAGCGAGAGCGAAGCCGAAGGACTAAGGAGCCGAAGGCCGAAGGCATCCCCCCACGAGGTTTCGCTAGCCTGAGCCTTGGAGATCCTTGGAGCCTGAGTGAGCCGACCGGCGAAGAAGCCTCGGAAGTTGCACCCGCCGAGGGTGTCGTGGTCGCCTTGTGCTCTCGAGAGCTGCGTCGAGTCCGGGCAGTAATTCAAGGCCCTCACCAGCGAAGACACTGTGGAAGAAGATGCCAGAGCCTATGCTGCAGAGAGCGCAGCGGAATCGCAACATCATGACTTTCAGTCACAGCACGATGCTCCGAACGGAAGATTTTACGTGCTACCATGAAGCCTTTCCACGGCCCATGCTTGGAGGGCTGTGCAGGTTGGCCTGTGCGAGAGCTGGCCCCTCGCTCTGTTGAGGATGCACTTGCATCTCCCACCTCTGCGGGAGCCCAAGCTAGTACTGGCCCCTGGCATTTCGACAGCAAGATGAAACATGGCCTCTTCTCAAACACCAAGAACAACCCTGCTCTCTGAGTCCATGCCGATCCTTGGCAGCAGGTCTTGCCACCGTCGCTGCAGGAAGCTCCCTGAGCACAGCATGAAAAGGGCGCACACGCACGCCTGTCCCCCCTGCTTTCAAAGCACCCGCCTTGGTGAAGAAACTTTTTCGCGAGGCCTTCGTTTCTACAGGTAAAACCGTGCTCTACGGAGCTCTGGGCCGGCAAGAATACAGGCATCTGGCGGTGCCACCGGAAGGTCGGACAGGCACAGC